TTAGTTAGTCAATGCTATGGTAGCCTACGAGCTACTGAGCTACGAATGCATATTCAAGGTATAGCTAAATCCTAAAGTACGAGTTGGATGAGATGAGGAACGTACTTTGTATATAATCGATAGAGACCTATATTACAATAAAGCAATGTTGTTTAGATTAAAAAACACGAGAGCAATATACCAATGACTTGTCTAACAATATGTTTTCCAAACAGATCGACAAATTATCGAGGTATATGTCAATAATATACTTGTTAAAAGCCTTAAAGTACCAAATCATATAATGCACCTCGACAAAATGATCCACATACCGTGGAAAAGTAAATCCTTAAATTGTAGAAGTTTCCATTTAGGTTTGGTTCGGTAATTTGTTTGGAAAATAAATTAAAATTCGATTTGGTTTTAATTTTCTTAAAATTATTTTTAAATAGTTTGATTTGAAAATAGGCCAAAAGCTCAAACTGTATTAACTCTTATATTCACATATTTTAATATGGGTAATTATATTACCAAAATAAAATTTACTTACCACACCATATTATAATCACACCACATATGAAATATAATTTACAATAAATACACTGCAATCAAATTTATAATTATAGCCCTAATCCAAAATTAAAAATAAAGAAAAATTACATTATTACTCCTCCTTTTCCTCATCTTTCCAGATCTCATAGCACAATCTCAAAATTAATATCGTTTCACTTGATTTTAATTTTTGTTGTCTCAAGCTACAACTATACAATTGAGACCAGACTCTGAATCTTGCATAAAAATATGAATGAAACCTAAAGAAACCACGTATTGAATGTTCAAAAACTATTCTGACGACTCAATAACTTGCAATTCTCTACACATGGCTGTAGAATTTAATCACCAATTCAATAATCCATTAATAAAGTTGATAGTCACAAGTAAATTATAAGAACATCCACTTTTTAGACATTGCCCTGTTTGGTAACAATTTTTCATCTCAAAAAATAATTTTTTTTATCATTATTTTACAATTCCAACCGTCATTTTTTACTTCTTTACTCACAGATGAGACCCACATTTTTCTCTAAAAGTCAAAAAATTAATTCTTATAATCACTACCGAACATGTCCATTGTCGAATCAATAAAGCCCGGAAATTTAGGGCTTGTCTGCTGCAACTTCTAAACCCCAAAAAAAAAATAATAATAATAATAAATAATAAATAAAAAAAAATCTTCTTTTAAATGTTTTTGGTCAATTGGGACCCGCACGTGAGAGTGGCAGTAAAAAACGACGGCTGCCAATGGTAATTCATTTTTATGCCCAAAAATTGGCTCTAGACAAGGGCTTAAGAATAACATGACTTTCTAGACAACCAATTGCTAATTAAAAAACGATTGATAATTATGAATCTAATAAAGCACTCACTTAACAAATTCACCAGCTTGGCACGACAAACCAACCGACTAAGAAACCCAAGATCCAATTAATCAAAATTAGGGTTTGCAGAACGAAAAATTAACCCAAATGAACAAAAATAAAACTTGGATTTCCTTGTATGTATATATTTGCAAGTTCAAAGTTGGAACACTCCAACCTATTTCTTGAACAAGAAAGAAGTTCTCTCACTTCCCCATGGATTATTGTTTGAAAATGGCATGAAAGGATTTTGGTAGTATTTAAAAAAGGAATGCGCCTCATTAAAACATTCTAAACGATGTATTTGCATTTTTGCACCATGCAGCACTGCGGCACCGCCTTAGGGAAAAGGAAAATGGAGACAATTTAATGATTGTGGTGTCTACACAAAAATTATTTTTAAATGTGTGATCAATAAAATAATTTTACTTAGGACATTTAAGAAAATGAAAAAATTAATTAAAATTATGGTTTAATTGATAAAATATGTGTTGGTAGTATAATTACCCTTTTAATATTAGGTCGGAAATTCATAAATACATAATTATTTCCGAAGACAGAAGTGAAGTGCAAGAAAAGTAGTCAACTTCGAGTGAATCTTCACTTTCAACCACACAATCTTTCGATAAAACAATTTTACAAATAGAATCCAAAAATTTTCTTCATTTTTCACTGGTATAAAATCTAATTTCGTGAATGAAGTTCTTAGATCTGGACTGGACACCAAGTTTTGTTTGGTGCATTCTTTGGGATCTGGAATGGAATCCTGCAGCTGAATCCTGAATTCCACATTTTGGACAAATAAACCCTAAATGATTGAATTTCCTTATTATATATTTAAGATATTAATTAATTACAATAAGATGTGATTTTATTTTTTCTTGTCTTTCATAGAACTTAATTACGTCTAATTTTCTTTATCTCGATGTTGGTTAGAAGCACCATATAGCAGTGTGGAGTTCATGTTGTATGCATGAAAGCGAAAGTTAGAACTGCTAAGCCCTTGTTTGGTGTAGCTTAAATAGTATGATTAAATTTAAATCAAAGTGAACAATTAATTCCAATCAGATGCTTCATCAATTTTATTACATGATTTTTAAAATATCTAACTTTTATCTGCATCAAAAGATGCTAAATGTGTCAATTGTTAACATTGTTGGTGTAATGTGCATTAGTGTTGCGTTTCATAAATTAAAGTACAGCATTCTTTACATCATCTTTGACAGTTCTTTCATATCACACAAGTGGATCCCATGATTAAAACTCGTGTGAGAGGCTGTCAAAAAGAGTATACACTCGACATTTGTATTCTAATTTAGCAAACTATTAGAAGGTAAGTGTGAGAATATCCTCCCCTCTTTTTCCTTTTATATTTTCTCTTTTCAGCTGTTCATAATGGGGGGTATTTGGCTTCCTTTCCACACGTTTACAACTTCCCTAAAGACGTTTCTCAGAATCAATTCTTCATTAATTAATTAATTCCTTCGTTACTTTTAATTGGAATTTTAAGTATCGTGATTTGAGTGACGCTCCCTGCAAAAACATTTCTGCCGTCGTCTAAATTCGATCGACAACACAGAGAAACGCACAAACTTTCCATTTTTGTTGTTTTCTTCTTCAAGTTTTGCATTTTTCAATCACAAATGCCCCTTATAATCTTCTCTCCCCATCCCCATTTTTTCAACCCTAAAACTTCAATACACGATTCTCCCTAACATCACCTTACGGATTTATTCTTTATATATATATATATATATATAAATCTATACAGATTACCATTTTTTTTTTGTTATAGCAAAATGACGGCAACGAAATCATTGGGCCGATTTTTCACTATCGGCTTAGTGGCATCGTGGTATTCATCCAACATTGGGGTGTTGCTTTTGAACAAGTATTTGTTGAGCAATTATGGCTTCAAGTATCCGATCTTCCTCACCATGTGCCACATGACCGCCTGTTCTCTGTTCAGCTATATTGCGATCGTGTGGATGAAGATGGTCCCAATGCAGACTATAAGATCTAGGGTTCAGTTCATGAAGATCTCTGCTCTCAGCTTGATCTTCTGCGCCTCGGTTGTAAGCGGGAACATTTCGCTCAGGTATTTGCCAGTCAGCTTCAACCAAGCCATCGGGGCTACCACGCCTTTCTTTACAGCCGTATTTGCATATTTGATGACGCTCAAAAGGGAGGCTTGGTTGACTTACGTGACGCTGATTCCAGTCGTCACCGGGGTCATCATTGCCAGTGGGGTATGTTCAATTGAACCATTCAGTCTGTTGATTTGCCTCTTATTTAGTTGATTGTATTACTCTTTAATTGGATTCGGTGTGTGGGTGTGCTTGGTTTAGGTGTTTTTATTTATTTATTTATTTTTTTATGCCAAGCATGATGCTTTTTCTTCATCTTTAAGTGTGTTGTTGGTCCGGTTGAAGTTATATATGGTGATTATGTGATTATTTTTGTAGGAAGTGGTAAGCTTGGCTCCAAGGGGCTGGAGAAATCCCTTTCCTTTTGAATGAATAGATTATGGTTTTATTAATTGTCTAGGGATTCCTGCTGTAACAGGATAACAATGAGCATAAAATTATATACTGTCAATCTTTTTTCTTTTTTGCAATATAAGTTGTAATTGGATTAAGTAATCAGCGTCTGTATTCTAAATTATTATTATTGATCTGAATATAACACTGACTTTGGAAAATGAGATATCTGGTATTTTCAAGTCTGCTTAATAACAAGTTGTTAGTTAGTTGAAGACCCTGTAGTCAGAATTCAATTATGATTATATAATTTTTTAAATTAATTTGGATTATATTTTTTTACTCCCGATACAGTGTAATTTTTATGTTGAAAATGTAAATTTCATATATCGTGTAGTTTAATGAATTACACATTTTGAGCTGGTGGACATTGCTTTCATTAGTATCAATTTCAGATAAAGAAATATAAAATTTAGTTACCATGATAAAATCGATGTCTGTTCTGTATCTTCTTCAGGAAATACATATATATCTAGCAAGCTTATTGGATCAAGATACAAAAGATGTGCTGATTCTCCGTAACTAGTATGCCTTGCATGTTATTGTTGAATTGCTGTTGCTACTTGCTATGGCATTAGGGGGAAATCAACTTTGTACTTTATTTTGTTCACTCTTTCCATGTTGTTAGGGAGAGCCAAGTTTCCATTTATTTGGATTTATTATGTGTGTTGGAGCAACAGCCGCAAGAGCACTCAAATCAGTTGTTCAGGGGATTCTGCTTTCTTCTGAAGGGTAATATATTTATATTCCTGATATGTTGTATCTTCTGATGAAGTTGTGCCAAGAATGTTTTGCCTTTGCACGCAGAGAACTTGGATATGCTTATTGAAACTTTTCTTATCTTGTTGAAGGGAAAAGCTGAATTCTATGAATCTGCTCATGTACATGTCTCCTATAGCTGTTGTGTTCCTACTTCCCACTACACTCTTAATGGAAGAAAATGTAGTTGGCATCACATTGGCACTTGCAAGAGATGATATCAGAATTGTCTGGTTACTGTTGTTCAATTCTGCGCTCGCATATTTTGTGAACTTGACCAACTTTTTGGTCACAAAACACACCAGTGCTCTGACTCTTCAGGTATTCCTGGATTTTTGTTACATGCTATTCTCCTATCATGAGTTGCAATATTATTTGAGTTTGCAAATATTATGTATCTTGCTGGCATTTGAATCAATGGGATCGGTAACTTTCATTCAAAGAGACAATAACCAGATCCATGGATATTTTAGCTCATTGGTTAGGAAAGGAGAGTAACAAGATCTGATTTCTACGAAACAAACAACAGGATACAAAAAAATTACTTTTAGGTTATCTAATTAACTTTTCCTTTCTGCTTATGGTTGGATTTTTAAACATGCACTATTTTTCTTGAGAAAATTGACAGTAGCTTTGGGTTTGGAGAAATATAATTTTTGTCTTATTTTGTTTCCTTAGGATATTTAAGCAGAACAGTGTATTATGCACTCTAAAACTATTTGTTGAAAGAAAATGATTGTAGCATGAGTATATTACCTTTTCGGGAAGTACTCTCCATTTCATGGACATTTTTCAATGTGGATGTTTCTTTCTATCTGGCCACAGAAATAAATGTTGGCTTTAAAGATGATTAAAGCATACTCTAAGAAATCTTCTGCAAAAGCAAACCAATAACACCGATATTGCGTATCACTTTTCTGGCTGTAGGAATCCATATTCTTCTTCGTGTCATACTTTTCTATTCAACTTTTGCTATTATTCAAAATGAACAATCATTTTTTCAGTATAATGCTGCTGCGTTAACCTTTTTGCCTTTTTCCCTATTGAGGAAGGTTAGGTACAGGAAGGTGGGAATAATTTCATTGTGTTCATTTCATGAAAAATCTAATGAAAATGAAATAATTGTTGCTTTTTTGTGTGTGAATCTTTTAGCAGAGAAATGTAAACTTAAACTGGAAAGAAAACTGGCTAGGAAATGTCTGGATCTTGTCCGGAAACATATTCCTCATGTAGCTTATTAAACATAGTGTAATCTTATCAGCCCAGTGCATATGGAATAGTTTAAGATTAACCTTACTAAAATGTTAAGAAACAAAATACATGTTGGAAAGATATTGTTAGCCCTCGAAATGAAGTCTGCGAACCCATCTAGCCATTGATGAAATGAAAAGCAACACGTGACGGGAACGAAGAAACAGAAGAGCACTTGGGCAAATGAATAAAACTTGATTTTCAACTGAATCTGTTAGAAGATATCCAACAAGAAGCTGCCTTCTGTCATTCTTCCAAGAAGACTAAAATCACGAAACTCCCTCAAGGCTTAAAGGAAAATTTATAAATACCCCCTTCTTATTTGAAGAAGAAAGGCATGCAATTCAAATATCTCCCTCTCAAATAACTATTCTATTGTTGCTCTTGTTTGAGCATCAAAATTAGTGAACTTAGGAAGTGAAGTCATAGCTAGGTGAGTAGGATCTGTTGATTTGATTTCTATCATCAACAAAAACCATTTCTTTTACCCATGAAGAGTTCATTTTCCCTTTGGATACCACTGGATTGAATAAATTCAAATTAGATGGTGGAAGAGAACTTGTAAAAACCTTTTCTCGTGTGGATAAAAATTTCTGGGGAAAAGTAATACTGAAATTTCTCTGTGCATCATTCCTGAAAACATTGAAAAGGATTTGTGAGAATGATTCTTGCAAGAGGAAGAAAGAAAGGTATCAATTTTATCAATAATAATGCACTGTAAAGCTGTCAGGTTCATTTGTACTGTAAAATCATTTGTTCGATCCTTCTTTACTCTAGCAATCCTGGTTGACTTTGTTCTACGCGTACAATCAACTTTTCTGCTTATATTTGGAAAATGTAACTTACATATATTGTTGGTATTTATTTTTCTACTATTCTTTGTTCCTAAAACTAAATAAATCAGACATACATTAGAAAAGGTTGAAAACTTGTAATTAAGATTCTTTGTGGACAGAAGCCAGAAGGTGTAGAAGGATATTAAAGGTTCCTTACATCTCACTTGTGGAGCTATACTAAATTAAGCGGTTTTTATGCATCAGAATCAGGAAAATAGGGTGTCAGGTGTATAATATATATGATCTGATTAAATCACATTCATATATCTTTTCTTCTGTTTTACTGGGAGAGATTGAACTTGAGAAAGTATATTTTTGATAGTGGAGTGTGTTTTCCTATTTGGTAATACAATTGCTGGTCCTTTCAGGTCCTTGGTAATGCAAAGGGGGCAGTTGCAGTAGTGATCTCCATATTGATATTTAGAAATCCCGTCTCTGTTACTGGAATGCTTGGGTACACTCTGACAGTCATTGGTGTTATCCTCTATAGTGAAGCCAAGAAGCGTAGTAAATGAGATATTAAACTGGAATCACATCAACTACGAAATCCAACTATTCTGAAATGTAAAAAGTTGCTACCTTGTGAAGAAGTTGATACCATGTTTGAAGATGGAGCGTGGATTTTGCCTGGGAAGGCTGGGAAAGCATCATTTACACCAGAATCCGACACCTGATTAGACAGAGTATAAGTTTAATAGGCGTTCTTATGTAGAAAAGATCTTTTTACCTTGCATTCTTTCAACCAAGGAGCGTAAAATCCGAACCACTAAGCATGTTAATTAATTTTTGATATTCATGAAACTATACGACACTTCGTGATGTCGCCCCTTAATTAATGGCTCAACTCATTATGGTCAAGTGTTCTGTTTTCCCTACTTTTGATTAAGGAACGTACTCATGAATAGTTAAACCATTTTGCATGTTCTTTAGCAAAATTTATAAATCATTTAAAATTGTCAAACTTCATTTTTGAACCACACATTCAAATTTCAACAGACATGAGTAACATTCACTTATTTACCGCTCAATTTCTAATTTCTTTACCTCAGTGTTAGTTAATCCACTAGATTCTACATTAAAACTTAGGGTTGATGGAAGTTGCCTTTTTTTTTCCTTCTTTTTGTTGGTAAAAGATCGCAAAATCCTAGATTAGGATTTCAAGCACTCGTTTCTTCAAGGTTCTCAGCGCCTAGTATCTTGCAGTACTTGTATATCATGTGATCAATATTTAAAGAGAATGGAGCAGAAGAAATATTGTATAAAAGAACCTTTCTAATCCTGGAATTTGAATTTTCCAAAATCTAAGAATTTCTGCAAATCCGTCGTCTAAGTTTCATAAATGCCAAGAAAAATGCATATATAATTCAGCTAAAGGAGAGAAATCTGTTGATTAACTGAATACCCGATGGAGGATTCAAAGAAAATTATTTACAGATACCTACTCCAGATATGGCCGATTTAATTCCCAACTCTTCACCTCTCTACTACCATTGTGCACAAGTAGAAGACATGGATGACTTCATCAGACAAAATACATGACCATGGTCCAGGTTTTTGAATCGTCTACCAATCACTCTTAAGATACCAACTGCCATTCTATGAGAATAAAGGGATACTTCCTACTCATAATCCGACAAAAACCCAACTATTCAACCTCCATAACTTCGGATTCACCATTAGATTCTGCTTTAGGCTTGGTTTCCACAAGAGTATACTCGTCAGATTCAACCTTAGGCTTGGTTTCAACAAGAGTATAATTGTCGGATTCCACTTTGGGCTTGATTTCCACTTTAATCTTGCTTTCTTCATCAGGTTCATATTCTTCAAGAAGCACGGGTTTCACATCAGGCTTCTTCTCCAATCTAGACTCGGTTTCCTTCCTAGTCCTGGTCTCTGCTTGACCTGCAATTTCCTCTTCTTCTTCAATTTTAGGCGCCAGATAGAACCTGAGGTGGCCCATCTCTGCAATCTTGTACTCGACTACGGCTGGCAGTTCAGAAGACATGCTGACTGTCACTCGGCTTGCAAGTGGGGTGGCCTTTGCAAAGGAGTTCATATACCTCAAAGCAAAGGTTTGTGTAACAGATTGCTCCATCTCTATAATTGTAGCGTCTTCTGGCTGCAAAATTATATGCCAAGTGAAGGCAAGACCTTTCGTAATTTTGTTAGCAGCGTCAATTCAAAATTTTGATTGAAAAGAAACGTGTTTAATCATTTTTCAGAAGTATTGCATTAAGCAGAAGTTTTCTAGGTTTATTCAAGAACTGATTCATGAAAAATGAAGCATGGAAAAGAAAAAAAGAAAGCCATACCTTGTCTACCGATGTATTTTGCCTCAAGACAGTGTTAGCTGTACCAATGTCACCTCTAGTGGAGAACCCCACACCTTCTTTTGTCACAGATATCACAACTGCAGTAACTCAATGAAACCCACTAGAATTAGCAATAAGACGAGGGTCAAAGGAAAAGGAAAAGCTCCAAGGTTTATGAACAGTACCAGTATCACCAATGGTGCTGAGATCTTTGCAAATCCTTGCAAATTCTGCAGATGGCATTCTCACAAGGGCTTCATATTCTGTTTCTGGTATCCCAAGATGTTCACTATCAATGTCCATGAGCTTCATCTCAAAATCAGCAATCTTATCTTGAGCTTCAAAAAGTTAAGACCAGGAAGGCACGCATCAAGAGTCGACTTAAACAATATAATAATAAACTTGCCACAGTTATTAGCAAAAGAAGGAACCAAAAGCTTCTTCCAGTTAGAAACAAGTTATACTGACAGAATTGTGATAAGAAAATAGTATCCATATTGCTTCTCCACGGGTTATTTACAATAATACCACTTGGAAAATAAGAGCAGAATTGCAACAGTAAAGGTAAACCTCTACTAGTCTTGGATTATAAATGTTTGGACCAAAACATTTCTTATGAAGAGCAAAGTAGAGAAGGTTAGTTAAAAACAACAAGCAATGTTATAGACAATTTGACCAAACTACATAAATAAATATCCTATAAATGCTTTCAGATGAGAAGCATCAAGGAGAAACCTAGCCTAAGAATTTTTTCCTGTAAATAACCTGTTCTAAACTGAAGATACGGAGGCATCAAAATCAAAATATTGCCTTACAAGATGCTAAAGCTGTTGTGAAACCTGAAATCCAAGTTAATTTAAACCACTAACCATGCATACTCCTCTTGTTAAATTCGTCAGATCTTTTGTATTATCTACTTTCACCCAGTTTCTTATATAAGCTTCTTCCTATTGTTTGAACAATGATGCAAAAATACCATAATTTCAAGCTTCTTATGACAAGTATTAGTCAAGTATGAATTTAAAATCCCATTTATTAAACATTTTACATGAATTAACATGAGAATTGCTAGCTTCGCTAATAAAAGCCAAAACAAAGGCAAAATTCCATGTAAAGCAACCAAAACTAATCCAGATCAACTAACAAACGGCAACCAAATAATTTTAAAATATCATAAATTCAATTGTAGTTAAATGCAAAGAACCAACAGTAATCCAGGAAAACAAATTATGTATTTAATTTCAGAAAAAAGAACAATGAAATGAAACAAAAATCACATCCTAAAAGGACGTAAACTTAATCTCAAGAAAACCCACAAAACACATAGCCATCGCATAATAAACCCATACAATACACAAAAAGCATCAGATCCGTATGCCTAAATATCAAAAGGATAATGGGATATTTAAAAAGAAAGTCCAAATTAGGATAAAAATGATGAACATACAAGGGTTCTCGAACATGAAGGTAACAGTGTCGGTTCCATCATCAGCTTTGATAGTGATAATGTCATCATTTCCAGCGCACTTGAGCATCTTGGCCATGTTTCCCATGTTCATGCCCATCGTAAGGTTTCGGTCGCATCGATAGTGCTCGAAGCCTTCTGAGCGGAGAAGAAGGGTCACCAAGGCCACATGGCTTGAATCCATGGCCTGCAATGAAAAACCAGTAGCCGAACAGTCGAAGTTTGCATCATTCACCAAATCTTTGATCGATTCAAGAACTTTCTTCAATAGACTGCCTTGTACTAGCCTCAGTTCGAACATATTTTTCTTCTTTAAACTCGTATTGTACTCTTGTTTGGTTTGAGAGAGAATGAAGGAGATAGCTTAAATTGGCTAATGGGACATATGGACGTCTCTACTGTGAATATATATTAGAGGGAAGAGTGCAGAGCTTCGGCGCGGGAGGAAGAGTGATTCCCGCCAAAAATACCAGCAGTAAAACGACACCGTCTCATGTCAATTGATTTTACCTTTACTGCTTTTATAAAATTCATAATTTTTTTTCTCGACACCTGAATTTGCTATGTAATTGATAGATATTGATAAAATTGTAGTAATTTAAAATCCTTTTGTAAAATAATTTAATGTTCCAATTATCAAAATTAAAACTACGACTATTAAAAATCTCAATGACCGGCGTAATTTTGATGTTGATTTTCAACAATCACTTAACTTTAAAAAAAATTGATTCCTTGTTACATTTTTAATGTTGTTTCCAATTTATCATCAACAAACCTATGCAACCCTAGTAGAATCAAGACTCGACACGTGTAGATGATTAATACAAAGTGTCAAACCCACCAATAAAATTAAGAGGAAATTTCATAAAATGTCCAATTTCATCTAGTCATTTGCAAAAATGTACACATTTTTTTCAATGTCCATTTTCGAATTATTTAGACAAAAATATCCCTGTTAAGAAATTATATTTTTACGCCCAAAGCAAGACTCTTGGTTTATTTCCCCAAGACTCGACTCTTGGTTGATTTCCCTCCAAATTAACCCCAATTTCATAACCCTCCAATTTCAAATCCATTACATTTACTTACTGTGAAATCTGAAAGAGTGATTAGGAGGGATTTGGGGCAATTTCGTGGCTGAAGGAGAAGGAAGGGGTTGCCGACCGGCGATTGGGGATTGGGCGAAGCTAAAGGGAATGGGACAGCAGCTCGACAGCGTAACAACGTTTTCTGTGGAATGTGAGTCATTTCTCTTCCCTCTTGGTTCATTTCCCCTCAAATTAACCCCAATTTCATAACCCTCCAATTCCAAATCAATTACATTTACTAACTGTAAAATTTGTGCAATCTGAAGGAGCGATTGGGAGGGATTTAGTGCGATTTCGTGGTTGAAAGAGAAGGAAAGGGGCCATCGGCCAGTGATTGGGGATTGGGCGAAGCTGAAGGGAAGGGGACGGCAGGTCGGCAGCGTAACAGTGTTTTTTGTAGAATGTGAGCCATTTCTCTTCTCTCTCTCTCTCTCTCTCTCTCTCTCTCTCTCTTTTTTTTTTTTAAATTTTATGCCACTGCATCTATGATTTAGTTATGTGATTTGTGAATTGTGAATGTTGAAAAATTTGAACATTAAGTTTGAATTGAGTGTTGACTTGGACCATTGGGAACAACCTCGAAATCAGTTGGGAACCTAGGATACCATAGGAATGATGGAGTTTGTTTAAATGTTAAAAGAGAATTTAAACCACCTAGCTGGGAAAAAGAAGAGTGCAAGGTACAATAGATATAAATATACAATTTGAAAACTATCAAGGCAAAATCTCATAATATTACCCTCCATGTTGAGAATATCTAATCGCTCATGGTCTGCTGCCTTTGGCCACAAGGTAAACTTAAAGTCTAGCATAAATAAATAGGAGCAAAATCTAAAATATCATTCATTTGGCTATAAATCGTATATCCCTCTAAATAAATAGGGGCAAAATCTAAAATACCATCCATTTGGCTATAAATCATATGTCCCTCTGATTAACATATTCTAAAGGGAACAGCATTCCAATAGAAAAAGCTATAACTTGAGACTACTTAGTTACCATAGACATGCTCCTTCTAAAATAATTAACTAGATACAATCCATCCTACACAGAACATTAACAATTGTCTGCCAATTTATCAAATGATCCTTGCAATCTCCCTTGCGCCTTTTTCTAAAAAGAACTGCCATTACTGACCAATCCTCCTTGGCCTCTCTATTAGAATCTTGTGTAAAGATTAGTAATACGAAAGACTTTGAGCAGAAGACTAATGATTGTAACTGTGTTGCCCATAATGGAATAAGCACTTTCGGCTACCTTTGGCACATAGGGTTGAACCATAGAAGAAATTATGTATAAAATTAGAGAATACAATCATAAGTCAATTGTATTGAGGTAGATATTATTTATAAGTTTTTCATTTAAGAGAATGCTACTTGCACCATCTTTCTTGTCCTTAAATTTACCTCCTCACTCCATATTATATCATCCAATTAGCTTGAGAAAGATGGTGCACATAACATTCTTTTCAAAAAAAAAAAAAAAAAAAAAAACTGAAGAATATTATCCACACTAAAAATATTTACATAGCATATGTACTCTAATTGTATATTTAATTCCTTATACAGTTTAATTCGTTGTAGCAAACACAACCTTACCGTCATCACAACTTTCATTAATCTTCTCAACCCGAGCTACATAAAGAAACTACCCTTTTATTGAAATATAGAAACCATGGGAGAATTCCGTAAGATCACCAAGCTATTTTTGAAACTATTGATTTCATCAAAAAGAAAAGAAATGGGCTACTTGGTTAACTGATATCAATTACGCTATAGTGCTCCTTTATTATCCAATCATAAACTTGCTAAATCGTCCTCTTGGAACTTTTCTTTGATGTCAAATTGGCATATTTATTGGTACTTTCTCATTCCAAGTAATCATTCATGAGCGTAAAAGATAACGTTTAACTATCCCTCCCCCATACAAAACATATAAATCTCCACAATCTCTTTCATCTTATCACCCACCAAAAAAAAAAGGAGAATTTTGTGTCCGATGTTATAAATGGGGGAAAAAGCTCTTTCTAATTCGAATTCCCAAAGAACTAGAACAAAAACCGTAAAAAATTATGGATAGCCGTGAAGAATAAATAACGTCTTAAATCACTAAAAAGACGCGTATCTAATTTTAAACACATGCAATTAATTAAAAAGCAAAAGCAACTTACCCCAGCAGATTTCGATAGCAAATTATTCAATAATCATCAAAATAAACATATTAATAAATTCAACAATCTCCAAAAGCAAAACAACATCGATGAAAATTATGAATAATATCAATGTCTCACTTGATGAGTCGATCTCCTACAACGTTCAGTTGTCGGGCTAATCAAATCTTCTTAAGAACACATACCTACATTTTTCCAAGAATAAATGAGTAAAATGGAAAAATCCAGCATTGGAATTCATTAAACCTTCACTACAATATTTTAGAAATGAATATTAACCTAAATCTTACTTTTTTTTCTCTCTAACTTGTTATTTACCAAAATGGCTGCACCAAAAGTCCATGCCCTATCTGCTTCATGATCTCATATTGATCCATGGCCTCTCCATGATCTCATATTGATCCATGGTCTCCATAATAAAAGAAATGGCCTCAATCTCCATTACTACCTGTTTGCATATCATAGCAGTTGGATTGTTTAGTGTATGGTTCTACAGGAGCCTTGAGATTGTTGGAACTATCAACAACTTGAATATTCTTGAAATAGTCAGACTTGCTAAAACCCTCTTCTGGGAATCGACCGCTGCCCATTTGAGTCGAAGTGAGTTGTCCGTTGGGTTGTGAATTTACAACCTCACCATCACATTCTATCGTGAAAGCAATATCTATTAAGTAAGAGAATAAGAAAGATGGACAATAACCCAATACATAGCCATTGCCAAACTGTATCCACCAATTTCCCTCTTTTGGGTCTTCGGATAAATTAAAAAGTTATAAAAGGATAATTATAATTGATTCTTTGTTTCATCACAAAATGCATCACAAGAGGGAGAGCGGGGTGAATTTGGAATTTACCTTCCACATAAGAATGCTGATATCCTATTGGGAATTTCGGTAGGATAAGACAAGAAAGATGCTTGTACCCATTGCTAATTGACTGCTGACTTGTATGAAACCTGAGTAGAGTAGGTTATAGCAACCGATGGCTTGATATGCATCACTCTATAATTACAAACTGATATTAGAATTTTCCCTGGAGCTTTATTAACATGTAAAGAAAACAAACAACAAAAGAATAAGCTTACAGTCCAGTATGTGAACAATCCTGTGTTGTTACCATCGTAGAAATCAGGGCTAACCTAAAGTAATGTGCATTCAAATCCGTAAGAGGAATGCAACAAATTATGGTCAAACCAATAATTTAAAAAAAAATACCTGCTAACCAGTTTCAATGCTATTGAGATCTTCACCAAAAGACCCTCCCAGTAATCTAATTTGAGACAAACTGAACTCACTAGGCTGTTGTATTTTAGGTTTCCATATGTTAATAGTTGCTTTTGCACCATAATACTTGTCTCTTTCGACATATGCTAATGTGTGCTGGTGAAACCATAAACTTAAGAAAAGATATTCACGTAAGTTGGATCACCCAGCAGATTAAGGTGCGGGATATTACGTGAAATTCTTGAAATTTTTGAGGTACAGCTGGAGAAGAAACCCCAAATCTAAATACTTCAGGCAACTCCATTTTGTGATGCCAAACGAAAATTTTCCAATTGGGAATAAGCCATTGAATTCTTCATATGAAATCTTACTGGTTTATTTTGAAAGTAATGTTAGCATATTAATGTTGTATAAAGTTGTACACTCTTGTCTCTTGTATTTGAATCATCTTTTTCGACAATAGTTTTATTATATACAATAGGAGGCAAGATGAGAAATCCATCCTAAATAGGAGATCATAAATGTTAAGAAGAATTTTGCAATCCATACGATTTTTCATAGATCTCGGACACATAAAGAAATATGTACCATTTCAGATATCTTTGAGAGTATAAACCAATAAATATAGATAGTTTTAAAAAATATAAGTAATGGGGTTTTCCTTTCAACCATGTAGCATGACAGTGCTTTGGGAAATTCAATATTATGGTTAAGAAGGATTCCTCGTTAGTTGATGTTCTAGAGGAACAAGGAATACTCTATGAAAGAGTTCACTAGTGAATATCTAAGAATGATTTTTGTCAAGTGTTGAACATGCTTG